GGTGCATCAGAAAGGCCCGGGCCTTGCTTCCAAGTGGGCCCAATCCTACTCCACCTTCCTGCTCCCAGCTTCGTCGAAATGTCGAGGTTTCCCTTCCACGTCTTTTCATGGGCGTCTTTGGCGGTATCTTGAGACACGCCTCAGGCTTCTACTGTCGCTCAGACGCCGTGGTCTCGATCGAAATGCATTTTTCTCAGCGTGCCGAACACGTCGGTACTACCCTAACACGCGTGAAGGTTCTTTACCCCACGAATGGCCATGGTGGAAGGAGCAGACATTCCATCTTCCTGTCGCCACGCCTCAGCAGATCGAAACTCTGGCAGAACAGCTCGAGCAGATGGCCCTCGAGCAGGAACGGTACAATTCCAAGCTTCGGCATCAGTCATGGTGCGAATGGGCGGTAGCAGAATCTGCGAAGGGCTCTTCTGCGGCCTACCGCTTTATCAGAGGCCGTGACCATTGGAAACCTTTTGAAGTTGATGAAGACAGCCCAGTTCGTCCTCATGTACTTCTTGGGTCTCCCATGCATCATGTGTATTGTCGCGAGAAGTTCTGGCACGTGAAATGGGGCGTTGGCGAATCTTATCTTCCGCCCGGCCTACCACCAGTTACCTCTGAGGATATCCTGGCACGATCTTTCCCTACGCCCTCGCAGTTACGCAAACTATCGCGCAGCTACAAGGCTAAGACGGCAGTTGGTGCCGATTGGATGCATCCTTTACATTGCCAGTACCTTTCAGACCACGCTCTTCAGGCACTTATTGTTCTCTGGCGTGCTATGTTGTTCCTGGGCAAGACGCCGCAAGTTCTTGCAATCATCCTGATGGCCCTTATCCCGGCCAACTCTGGAGACCGACCAGTAGCAGCATCCACTACCAACGTCCGGCTTTTCACCCGTTGGTTTCGTCGATCTTGGGGCAGGCTTTGGGAGTCCAAGGTTACCCGCAGTTACGTTTTTGGTTATGCTGGGAAGTCTTGTCTCAGGTGTGTGTGGCAACGTTCTGTTCTAGCTGAGCTCGCCCATGCCAGAGGCTGGGACTCGCGCAGTCTCCTTCTAGATATATGCAAAGCGTTTGAAAACGTGCTCCATCACATCCTTGCCACTCGCGCCCTTGCCCTTGGATTCAATCACGTGATACTTCGATACTTGCTCAATCTTTATCGGGGTCCGCGCATTGTCACTTCCATGGGCATCCCGGGCGTTATAGTCTTTGCGACCCAGACGATTGTCGCAGGATGTGGTTTTGCTGACCTTCTCATGAGATGCATGATCGTGCCTGTCATCGATCTGGAGCAGGAGTTATACCGGTTTGTGTTTTACGGCGTCGTTGCGGACGACATCCAATGTACAATCATTGGCACAACCCGTTTCGTTTTGGAGTGGATGCCGAAGATCGCCAGCACGCTCATGGAGAAGCTGCGCGGTTCGCACTTGCCGCTATCTCTCCCCAAGCTGGCTTTGCTTTCGTCAAACCCCGATGTCACCAAGACTATCGTCGAAGAGGTCCCAGCATTGATGAATGCACCACGGGATATCACTAAAAACTTGGGTGTCGATTACACGCATCGTCCTCGCAAAGGCCTAGTCCGTGCCGTTCGTAAGCATCGCTTGAAGTTGTCCAGCCAGAGAGCTCAGAGAATTGCGCAACTTCGCAAAGCAGGTGGTCGTGCTCATCGTCTCGTGGCTACCTCTGTGAAGCCAGTGGCTATGTATGGTACACACGTCACTGGTATATCGGCCGCGCACATACACGAAGTACGTAAGCACTATCACACAGCAATGCCTGGTAGGCCTCACCGTTCCATCACAATGGATATGGCACTTGATCGGGTAGTACATCCATCAGTACCTGGACATACCGACGTCATTGTCATGTGGTGTGCATGTCGCTGGGACCGCGTCTTGCCAGACACGATGCTTGATGAAGCTCTTGACTGGGCGCGCCGACATGTCACTTCGAGTACTCAGTGGCACGATTTGTATGGGCCTGCTTCTGCCGTCGTTGCCACAGTACTACGGCTTGGCTGGGCCGTCGAGACTCCTGTGAAGTGGAAGACCGCCGCGGGCGCCACCGTCGACATTTCTGAAGTCGCTCCCAGGGACATTGAAACCCTGGTCGCACGTGATGCTGAACTTTGGGCATGGCGCCAATCGGCACCACAGCATCCTCTCATGCAGCATATTGCGGGGGCTCCTTTTCTCAACCCCATCCGAACCATCTTGAAAGGTGACGTTGCAGGTTGGACTCAGAGTCAGACCACGGCTTTAACAGCAGTTCTCGCTGGAGCGTTAGATTTACGTTTATGCTGTTCCTTGTGTCAACACGTTTCTTTGGATCTTCGAGAGGCTACTCATCATCTGATCTGGGATTGTCCTGCCACGTACACTTTCCAGAGAGATTTCGGACTCCCGGAGCACATACAAAGGGTCAAAACCGCCCACCCCCATGACCCAGTCTGGTACACAGCCCTCGTCCCAGACCCAGAGCGGCTCCTCCCCCCTCCCTCCACCGGTTTGGAGCTGGAGTGGGCGAAGGTGGGGGTTCAGGGACATGTTTTCGTATCCCCTGCTTTCGGGGGTGGTTCAGGCTTGCATGGGCCTTCGCCCCGTACCATCAGGTGTGGTTTCTCTGTGGCGTCTGTCAATAGGCTGGGGCATCCTATTACAATTGCCTATGGTGTATATCCCCGTCTCGTCCAAGATGTTCCAGGCGCAGAAACGTTCGCATTCCTGGTTTATCTTCAACACAGTGCCCCTGGGGATGATCAAGGGTATCATTATTATTCTGATTGCCAGTGGGTTGTTGATACGTTTGCTCTTCCTGAGTCTGCATCTGGTTCTGGCATGGCTGTGCATGCTGACCTATGGCGTGCAATCGACGAGAAGGCTAGGGACATTGGGTACGAACACATCCACGTCCACAAGGTAAAAGCCCACCTATCAGAAGAAGCTGGGCAACAGCCTGTCTGGTGTACGCGTGCAAATGCTGTCGCAGATATGTACGCCAAACGTGGAGCTGCTCTACACATTGTCGACGAAGCAGCTCTGACGCGCATTAAGCGTAGCAGTGCTACTGTTACAGTTCTCGCCAAGTTTATTGCATATGTAGTGTCTAATGCCTTGAAGTTATTCGAAAAGGGTCCCAACCCAGTCCCCCCTCCCTTGGGCCCTCCTGCTCCTGGGCTGCATGTTGGGGCTCCTCCTGTGGGGATCGGCCACCAAGTGGTCTGGGACCCGAGAACTTCGAGGTACCGCTGTGCAGCCTGCTGGGCCTCCAGTCAGGACAAGTTTGCCCTGTCCAGTGCCGAATGTCAAGCCCCAGAGGGGCACGGTCACGTGATCAGAGCATGTGGCTCTTATGTGTTCTGCCGCGCCTGCGGTGCATACAGTGCGACTAATATTCATAAGTTGCAGCAGGGCTGCCGTGGTGGAAAATCCATGGCCGATATTACCAAACGTAGGCTAGATAAGCTAATGAACGGACGGGACCCCCGTACAGGTGCTAACATAGGGGGGGTGCATGTCCCTGTTCCTCAGGTCTTTGATGATCTTAGCGAGTACGGGCCTCCCATAGACGTGGACCCCCGTTATTTGAATATGCCTATACTAATGTATTATATGGCTCGGTAGGGGTCCTGTCTCCGTGGGTTTTTTGCTGCTTTTTGGCTGCCAATCCACAGGCCCCCACCGATCCCATCGTTCACCGAATGTTTGCCCCACCCTTGGGGCAAACAATTTGTGAATGTCCACGGGCCCTCGCCAGGCGACCGTTTAGATTGCCACGAGTGCGTGCCGGGCGACTGTTTCAAGTTGCCACAATCCTGGCTCATTCCCAGGTTCTGCGGCGCCCGCCGCTGCTGCAGGAGTGCCGTTTCACCGCAATCGTGTCGTCGTCGTGTCTGTCGTTGTCGTCGTCGTTTTCTCTTTGAGGACTTGGCCCCCACGCGCGGGCCTCGCCACCAGTCAGAGTCAGAGTCCTCCTCCTCCTCCTCCTCCTCCTCCTCCTCCTCTTCCTCCTCCTCCTCCTCCTCCTCGTCATCCTCCTCCTCCATCCCCCTTCCTCCCCCTCCTCAATCCCTCCTCCTCCTCCTCCATCCCTCCATCCCTCCATCCCTCCATCCCTCCATCCCTCCATCCCTCCATCCCTCCTCCTCCTCCCTCCTCCTCCTCTCGTCCTCCTCCTCCATCCTCCTCCATCCTCCTCCTCTCTTCCTCCTCCTCCTCCTCTCCCTCCTCCTCCTCCTCCTCCTCCATCCCTCCTCCTCCTTCCTCCTCCTCCTCCCACGCACAGGCGCACCGCAGGTGTGGGCCTGACCACCTGCGCGAAATGGTATGCGGCAGCAGACGCGGCCTCATCTGAGAGCGGTGGTGGACATCGCGCGCCCACTCAGACCGCATTGGCAGAGGACAACAATGCGCAAGCTGGTGCACGTGCACCTGGCCCCTGGGGCCGCTAGTCGCAATCATGTCGGCACGTCTCTGCCAAGGCGGCACTCTGCGCCGATCTTGAAAGAAGGCGCTCGTCATTGGATAAGGAACCATTAGCAACGTCGCAACAGCTTGCTTGAAGCTCGAGCCTCCTAGGAAAACGAGGAGAAACCATGCTGGCGACCCCGCCGCTACCCGGGAGGCTCGCAGCTGATCAGGTGGCTCTAAGAACTCGCTTTTGGGGAATTTGTGGGGAAGGCCTTCACGGTTGTCTTGGCGGGCTTCGCGTTCTCCGTCACGACCTTGCCGAACATCTCGCGTTTCCCGGTCTTGGTCGCCTTCTTCTGGCGGGTCTGGACCATGGCAGCACTGGGAATGACGAACTTGCCGTTTTCCGTCGCCTCTCAGCTTCTCCTCCTCCTTTTTCCTCCTCCTCCCCGGCCCGGGCAGCCTCCTCCTCCTCCTCCTTCCTCCTCCTCCTTCTCCTCCTCCCCGCCTCCTCCTCCTCCTCCTCCTCCTCCTTCTTCCTCCCCCTCCTCCTTCCTCCTCCTCCCCGGCGCGGGCAGCCGAGGCCGTACTACCACCTGGGGCAGGAGTGCCACAAGGCGGAGGCGCGCGCTCCCCCCCCCCCCCGGGGTCTCCCCGGGCCCGGGGCCGCCCCCGTGGAGGTCTTCTCTTCGGGAGCCTTGAGACGGGGGCCACTGCAAACGTTACGTCGGGCTTGTCCCTCTACAGGGGGAGTATTCAAAAATAGTCCAAAAATAGTCTGGGGACTGTTTTTTGAGTAGTCTTCGTGGGAAATCCCCCTGCAGGGGGACGCGCCCGACATAATAATGCAAACACGGGGGTCAGCCAGGGAGCCCGATCTTGCAGGATCCCGCAGGGCCAGGGTCGCATTGACCCGGGTCTGGGTGCAGGATCCTGCAGGATCTTGCAGGACCCTTCGCGTTGACCCGGGTTTGCGGCGCAGGATCTCGCAGGATTTTGCAGGACTCTGCAAGGCCTGATTGACCCGGATTTGGATTGACCCGGGTCAACAGATCCCCGAGGTCTGCTGGATTCGGGCGAAGGGGTCCTTTGCACAGGGGTTCTCGCGTCAGTTTTTAAGACGGGCCAGTCCCTCTACAGGACGGATTTTGAAAAGTAGTCAAAAACTCGTCTGGGGACTACTAGTTTTGAAGAGTTGTTAGCTATTTGGGGGCATTTTCTGAGTATGTTTAATGTTTCGTCCGAAATCGGCCTGCAGGGGGACAGGCCCGATTTCACGTTAGTTAGTTCGGGGTATCTCCCATGGGCCCAACGAAAGCAACAGTTGATGCAATCGCGCTCGTGCGGGAGATGCACGTCGTACAGCAGGAGCACGTGGCTGCCACGACCTCTGCGCTACAGGCCGAGCTAGTGCATATGTCCTGCGCGACACCATGACCAAATGCCCCGCATGCCCAAAGCCAAGCCTGGCCGCCCGTGGCGCCCCGCCCGCGCCGCGGCCGGCTGCCGTCGCCACGATCGGGGGCACGCTTAGACGGACGAGGCAAGGACGCGGCTCTCAGGAGGGAAAAAATACACAGACACAATGAATCGTCGACCCCCAGGAAAATCACGAAAAGATTGGAAAATATGGGAAGTGGGGGGGAAGACAAAAACCCTGAAAATATAATTAATTAGAGGGGAATCATTGTTGTTTGCGTGCATTTACTTGTGTGGCCCAGGGCCCCTTCAGGCTCGGGCACAGAGGGGGGCGCATCGACCCTACGCCAGGCTCGGGCCAAGCCTAGCCAGCGAGCTCGCACCGAGGTTAAAGGCGAAGTCCTCGGCGAGCCCTCTCCTGTTCCGCGCCGCGCACTCTCTCCACGGAGAGCGCAGCAGGAGAAGAGCACTCATCGTTGCCATCGCTGTCGTGGTTACCGTTGGTGTCGTCGGGGGGGTGCACCGACCCCCGATCGCGTGTTCACTCGACCGCCGGCACATGGGGCCCGACAGCCCAGTCCCGCCCAGGGCCGTTGGGACTTGCACTCGGAGGCCCATCGCCTGTCGTCGATCCATCGGCGATGTGTCGCCGAGCGCCCCCCCGAGCCGGCCCCTTCCCCGAACGTTGTGTCGGGCCTGTCCCCCTACAGGGGGATTTTCGACGAAGAATAAAAAATACCCCGAAAATGCCCCAAAAAGGTAAAACATGCTGAAAAAATAGTCCCCAGACTATTTTTGGATTATTTTTGGGGTATTTTTGTTTTTCGTCGAAAATCCCCCATGTAGGGGGACAGGCCCGACTTAACCCGAACGTCCCCCCCCCCCCGCGTGAAGGGAAGGTCGGCACGAACGAATGGGTATGGAAAGAACCGGCACAATGCCCAACAGCAGTTCCTGTTCATTCTGAACCACGGCCTGTCGGTGTCGCCGCGGCCTGTGTGCATTTGAGACAGAAGGCCGCCTGCCCAATAGCGGCCGCTGTTGGTCTGGGACAACATTTGATGTTGGGCATTGTACCCATTTTTTCCGTACCCATTTCGGGCGTCCAAAGAAGGGGTCCTGAGGGAAACGGTTCGCCATGAATCAAGCTGTGGCGAAGCGTCTTGGCGTGCCTACGGTCCCACCAAAGAATGCTCTGAAGGCCTTCTGTGGTACAGTGGGGGCGCGCATCAAGAAACCATATGCTTTTCGTTAGGGTTTCCTGGTTTTCTTCGCTCCTCGGGCTGCGCGGTGACTTCAAGCAGCCGTTGAAGGAGCTGCTGCGTTCAGGGTGCTCCGGGTTTCCCCTGAAGTGCACCTCGCGTACGGGTTCTCAGGGTTGAGTTTCTTGCGAGGGTTTCTTGCGGCCGCGCCCGCATTGTATGCGCGAGGTGTTCTCAGAACATGTATGGCCTGGGCTGTCTGGTTTTAACACATCGGGCTAATGTATCTACGACCATGTCGTGGTAGGCTTATAGGAATGCTGGGACGGTCGGTCCCTGCTCAAACGAAACAGACGACATTCGAGGTTCGAGGGCATGTTTGCAGATTGCTGGCGGCTCCTCCAGCCTCGTGGTGCTTCTTCCGGCAGCGGCGCCTCGCCGGGAGCGTTCCAGGGCTGTTGGGATGGTCCTGAGCGGCCGCGGGGAACCCGAGTTATGGGAAGTCGAATCTGCGTCCCAAAAAACGAACCTGCATCACAAAAAACGAACCTTTTTTTGTTTGGGGGGGAGCAAGTTCGACTTCTGAATGCACGCAGCTCATCCGAGTTGTGACCAGAAAACCAGATCAGATGCGACGATTGCGGCGAACAGCCCAGGGGAGAGCAATACGTGTATCCAGGGGCACCGATGATCTACGTCTTCGACGTGGCTCCCGGGCGAATGCGCGCAATGCCCCCCCCCTGGGCTACTCGCCCCTGTCGCCGCCGCCGACCAACCCTGACTCCAGATCCACCCTACTTTTGGGAAATTCGTAAGTGGGGCTTGGAATTTCCGCCTTACTTTTCAAGCCCCGCTGATGCCAATTTCCGCCCTACTTTTCTGCTGCTGTTTCTGTGGATTTCCGCCCTCTTTTATGCTGGGTGCAGCCATTTCCGCCCTACTTTTTCGGCCTCTGATAGGTGGATTGCCGACGCAATCTGAAGTTGGAAAAGAAGCCAAAGCAGGGCGGATCTGGAGTCAGGGCCCCCCTGGGCCACTCGCCCCTCGTCGCCGCCGCCGACCAGGTCCTTTCGTCGCCGGGTCCTCGCTACGTCTCGCTGTTTTTCGGGTCCGTCTCGATGTCCTCCGCGGGCCCCCGGGGGGCCGGAGAGGACACATATCGGAGGAGGGCCTCCGTCGAGGCAACGGCGGCCCTTTTTTTGGCGTCTTCTTCTCGTCCTCGTCGGGCATCTATCATAGCCTCCTCCTCCTCCTCCTCCTCCTCCCTCCTCCCTCCTCCCTCCTCCCGACACGGCTGGCACCGCGTCGGGAGGCGGCTCGGGAAGGACCCCTGGAGGGGCCCGGGGATGGAGTGGAGCGCCTGTCTCTCAATCTTGGCCGTGCCAGGAAACAGGGGCCCGGGACGCAGAGTTGCTCCTAGGAAGGGCCCTGGGATGCAGTACCCATTTCCCTTTTGTAGCCCGTTTCATGCATCTCCACGGGATCGAGTGACGATGGGTTCCAATATTTGTGATGGAGGGGGCCAATCGTTGATGCGATCGAGGATCTATGGGATCGAGGAGGTGGGTTGGAGGGATGGAGGATCGATGGGATCGAGTGCCAACCGCGGGATGGGGAGGTCTTCGGATTGTTTGAGCTCCTGCAGACCTCAGGGGTGACCCCCAGGAGAACTCTGGGGACCCCCAGAGACGTCCAGAGGGCTTTCGAGACACGGACGCATCATCTCGACATTCAAACAGTTGTCAACACTATGATAGTTTGACAACTTCTTGAATGGGAGGTTCGGGGAGGGGCGGTTTGTCAACACGGATGGACGCGCCTCCTCGAGCTCTTGGCAAGAGCTCGCTTGGTGGGAAGAAGTGAGGACGATGATGCTGATTTTGATGTTGACGTGAAGCCGGAGCGGGAGCATCGTGAGGAGAAGGGCGAGGACGACGACCCCGACGACCGCTACTGCATTCCCCCTACACGTGTTGCTGCTCATCATCCTGCTCCTGCTGCCCCCGCACGTCCCCATCCCCCCTGGGTGTTTTTTTTGTTGTCTTGGATCGATTCTGGATTTGGTCCGGGCCCACTATTCGGGCGCATTGTTTTTTGACTTTTCGGGAGGACTACGTCTACATCGCAGCCCCATAGGGATCATGTTCTGAGTGCAGTCAAGGCGCTAAAATAAGGAACGGTTTGGGTTCGGAAGGGGCTCGATGTTCCTTAGGTTCCTCCAGTGCTGTTCACCTTGCCCTCCTGGGGCACGGAGGCGCTTACAGGGCCAAGAAGGGGCGTCGTTCCTTCTTTCAGCGGCCCGACTGTATGTGGGAGCCCTGGGTAGTTTGCTCGGAGGCTCTGGGGATGCGTCCAGGGTTGTCTTCGTGAGACCCGCCTGCGGGACTTCTGTGTTGGCGGCTGGCTGGTTCCCGAGGAGGCTCCCGAAAGGCTTCTGGAGGGGGTCTCGAGAGACATCTGGGGGGCATCCTAGCAAATGCACCTGGAGACGATCTTGCCGGGCTTTCTGGGGGGGGGGGCTCTTGGGGGCTTCGGGGAGCATACTGGGAGGTTTCCGAGAAACATCCCGAGAATCCGTAGCCATTTTGGCTCAAGCTGGGCGCGCGCGCGCGTTGGTTTAAGGGAGGTCCTCTGGCGAAAGCCAATCGGCCCTCCCTTCGCGCCGAGCGCACGTGCCTTGCAGGCTACTGGGGGCTGTCCGTGTTCGTGGCGGCCTTGATCCCAGCGTCAGTCGGACATCGAGTCTCTGGGAGCTTCGGCGGCGCGGAGGCTCGCTCGCCGCAGGCGTCGCGACGCTCTGGAGGCGTGGTTTCGGTCGCATTCTGGTCCGTGCGAGCCTGGCTCATGGCGCGATAGGGAGCTGGCCGCGCGACCTGCGCTGATCGCCGTCGCCGCCCAGCTCCGCGTCCCTGGCAGAGCGCGCAGGAGGCGCACCGCGGCGCTCCACTCGCGGCGCGTGCCGCCTCGTGGCTTCCGCACTGCGTCGGACGCAGCGCTGGCAT